TGTGAGATGCGAAATTTAGATTAACCCAGGGTTCAGGAAGATTTTCCGGAAGAGTCACACGATGCTGTAAAAACTCAGCAATCGATTGCAAATCTATCCAGGTCAGTCTTTCAGCATCCGGTAGCGTATTAGATGTCGAATTTTCTGAATTGTTATGGACCGGGTCGTATCTTGCGATTGGGAATGAGGTCGTTTTGATTGGTGGTCGTGAAAGCCAATCTGCAAGATGGTTTGATTTACCCTTTTTGTAAACAATTGTTGGATCGAAATGTTCAATAACGTCTACAAATCGTTGCATTCGCCGAGGTAAATTGGTCTTTTTTCGAATCCCTGCCAAACTTTCGTGGTCGGTCCTTATTATAATTTCACAACCTTCAATCCAATCTTGCCAAGTTTGAAGAGCTTGAACAATTCCCAGGGCTTCGCGTTCTTGTGAAGAATATCGCTGCTGCGTAGGGTTGAGTTTGCGACTCGTATAAGCCACAGGATGCAAATGTGCACCATCCATAGTAGGCTGTAAAATTCTTAAACGAATGAATGGCGAGAAAGGATCTTCGGGTTGGAGGAGAACACCACCAGTATATTTGTCGGATGCATCGACATCGAGAACCACTGGTAAATGGGGGTCCATGGGTTTCAAAATTGGTGTGGTAATGAGAGCATTACGTGTAGCTTTCCAGGCTTCGATTTGCTCGGCACATAATGTAACAGGTACATTTTTGCCTTCCAAAGACGTGAGACTATAGAGAGGCCCAGCTAATTTGCTGAAATGCTTGATGTAATCACGAAAGTAATTACATGAATTAAGAAAAGCCCGAACTTCCGTAACAGTTCGTGGCATGGGTCTCTCGAGAATTACCTGGATCTTTGAAGTATCTACTTGAATGCCGTGTCTGTCAATAATATGTCCCAAAAATCCTGTCTGCGTGACAAACCAAGCGCATTTTCGCGGGTTTAGCTTATAGCCACCTGATTGCAACTGTTCCATTATCCGAGTAGCGTTGTCGGTCGCAGCTTTTACGGTATTACCCCATGTTATCACATCGTCTATCATATTGGCCGTTATATCTCGGACTGGCTGAAGGCATTCATCCATTGCTTTCTGAAAAGTAGCAGGAGCGTTGGTCAATCCAAAGGGCATAACCTTGAACAGATACTGCCCCTGAGGTGTGACGAAGGAACAAATTTTTTGTGCCCTATCAGTGAGTTCTATTTGATAGAATCCTGACTTGAGGTCAAGTTTAATGTAAAATTTATGACCTGAAGCTTTCCTTATTTCGTCTTGTACCACAGGCAGTGGGTAAGCTGACTTTTCTGTATGAGAATTGACTTGTCGAAAGTCTATTACCATTAGTCCCTTTGGCTTACCGTCTTTGGGGACAAGTATTGCACGACTTGAGAATGGGCTTTGACCACGGTACAACACTCCTTCTTGTATTCCTGCACGAACGAAATCTTCTAGTACACGAGTGTCTTGGGGCGAGTAACGTCCCGGAGCGGATTTTAAATTGACATTGGTGTCTAGGATTATGTCGTGCTTAACCCCTGTTGCACGCGTAGAGCTACCTGCAACTTGTGTTGCATCAAATAACGCTCGGAATTTCGATTTGAGAAGCAGTATGCTATTGTCGATTTCCTTATGCTCAGCCATGGAGATGGGTGGAGGTGGACGGATGCTTAATTCAGTTGGGAGTTCAGTTGGGTTATTTAATACGTTGAAAGCAGTAGGAACATTTGTCGTTGTCCAGGCTGTGACTTTCCTAGCATCGGATTCTTTTTTCGAAATTGGTGTAAGCAACGGAGCGTCAGGAAATTTGGTTAGTTTGACACAGTCAGTGCCAGGGACGTAGAGAATTCCCAATTCGTGTAGAATTGATCTTCCTATCGTTAAAGGTGCGGGAAATGTTCCATCTGGCACTACCCCACAGGCTAGCTTTAATGAATTTACGTGTCCAAAATCAACTGAAACGGTGCAGTCGTAATTAACCACGGGTCCTAGTTTCTTTGCGACTCCTTGTAGCTGTACTGGCGATTTTGACAAAATTAAATTATTAGAAGAAAGAGTGGAAGCAATAGAAGAAACAATATAGCAACTAGCAGTACCACTATCAAGAAATGCAAAACTTTCAACTCCGTTTATATGACATGGAAAAAATCGATGATGATCCGTAGCGCCTTGCCTAGAAATGTATGTCGAAATAGAAGGAAATTGTTTAGAATTAAGGTGTATATTTTGTTTAGAATGAAACATATTTTCATCGTCAGTAAGGACGGTTGGATTATCCAGGCTCACGGCGTCAATATTGAAAGCGCCGCTGCCAATGCCCTATTCAGGGTTCTCATTATCGTTACAATTGCTAGTATCGGCTGATTCATCAAGCTCATTAGATATAGTTGGGACTGTATCCCAATCTTCAAATTCATCCGAGTCCCAGAGTTCGTAATCTTCGTTTTTGAAATGGACCGATTTATTTGCGTATGCAGAAACGGAATGATTTGACCGACGAGGTGGTGGAGGGGGGGGCCTTTTGTTAGACATTGGAGATTTATTGTATGGATTATTAATCCTATTGGAATTAATAGTTGGTTGTTTTTGTTGATGGTCTCTCCCTTGTTGGCCAATTCGAGCCCTAAATGTACCAAAAACCTCGTTTGCTGGAGATTTTAGATTGTATTTCTCCGTCTTTCGAATACTTTTGCAATCAGTACTGAAATGACCTAATTTCCCACAGTTGTAACACACTGTTTGGGGTGTTGCTGCGTTGACTGAGGCTATCGGATCATTGAAAACAGGTGATGGCGAGAAATGTGAATTATCATTTTCCACTCGGAGAGGATCTTGAAACACTGGAAGAGGCTCTCGATCGAGAGGACGTGAAGACAATTGTGCCATCCAGTTCTGGTATTTTTCAGCAATGGTCCACGCAATTGACAAAGCGTTGTGTAGGGGAAACGCATCATTTTGCTGGACCAGAGTATTCCAGACCATACCAGCATGACTTTGTAAAGTGTATTCAATCGTATATTCCACTTCTCTATCGCATCGTTCCCTGGTCGGAATTCGAAGGAACGCTTGTTCAAAACGCCTCAGGAATTGAGCAGTGGACTCTTTCTGTAATGGGCCAGTTCTGAAAGCGATGAAAGCGTCAACAGGACTTCGCAACTTATTTGATAACGAGAGGATCTGTAGAATCGCTTCAACCGTCATTGGCCAGGTCGGTCGATGGGTTTTACAGAACGAGTTGACTTGCCTGAAATCACCCTGAAACAGGTGACACACTCTCTGGGGCCATAAATGGTAATATGTACCCTCTTGTATCAGCGCCGACTGAATTTCTTGCAGGTGCAAGAGGTTTTCGACGTCGCTTGTTCTTGTGAGTGGTTTTAAACCAGGATGAAATGGTTTGTTGCTATTTCTGACGTCCATTGTGGACTCATCCAAATCAGATTCCGCGACGAGTTCGCACCAGTACTTCCATAGTCACTGTATATATACACTGTTACTGTTGTGCAGCGGCCAAGTCTTACGATCCTCCCTATCTAAATTTGGGTCGGATAAGCATAACAAGTTTGACTCATTTCGTGGACCTGGGGAACGCTTTGGAGCTCTGAACGGACCTCTTGCTGGATTCCAAGTCGACTGCAAACCTGGAATTGAGAGAGGGCCTCTCTTCATTTCGTTATCCAAATTCAAGTCTGATTTGGAAGGTTCATCCTTATCTTTGTTCACATTCTCGCTGATTTGCGAACCTGAAGATGATTCCGTCGGAGTAGTTTTGAACGAATTAACTACTGATTCCAAATTGTCCATTCTTTTGCTCAGAGCCGATTGCTGCAAACTAATATTTTTTATTTCTGCCAGTATTTCCGACAGTGATGGTTCAGGTAAAGCTTGGGTCTCTGAAGAACCCTTTGCAGATGTCGCACGAGTCGTGGATGGAGACATTTTATCGATTGTAAAATTTAAAAGATGGTAGTCGAGGTACCAGCGCAAATAGCTATTTGTGCGTTCTATTTACTGTTATTAAATGTACTCACGGTAGACTCTGAACTAAATGCACGCCTGTAATCTATATCACAGAATGCCTGGTAAGTTCGTTGAGTCTGATGTAAGTTGATTGATTCGTGTCCAACCGAAAACTCCTAATGACGCTAACTCTAATTAAGATTACATAATAGCGCCTATAACATAATAATGACTTCCAACATAATAACACGCGACCAGGACACACAGAGGTTTCCCTAGGTGGGTTCTGACGGATGAGGATTAACCTGTGGTGGATTAAAAGCCACCTTAACTTCGCAGTGGTACTTTCAAATGAAATCTGAGGCATGAGTGCTGTATTTTACATTTGGGTCATCTATGCCACACTTTTCTACGATATTTTTTCACAGCTACATAGCTACATAGCTGTGTTCACATTGGACGATGTAAGTAATTTAAAACCTCTGCTTTCGCACACACCTCATTTTCTGAGCCGATGAGATCACTGCTTTCATGTGTTCAGTCTTTATTCTCCCAATATTAGTCATGAAATGTGTCCTAGCAGGTCTCGCTCGGGCCAGCTTCTTGTTCTTAAAATAGGCTGAACCCTGGGTGTAAAGGGGTGATCTAGTTTCTATCCTTTAGCCGCTCAAAAGAAGATCTCTATGAATAAAGCAGTAGGCTCTTTTTCAATCACCGTCCTATTGCTCACGGCCGCGTAAGGCTGTGAGGTTTGTGTGCCAGTTACTTGTATTTCTGCTTGCTAGCGTGCGGTGGTTAGTCGTCCCTTAAACCTTTATGGGAGAATTTAAGCATTGGAGGGGCTGATATTGTCTTGTCTAGGTTAGTCGCGACAAGATCATTACCGCGCAGTCGTCGCAAGGCTTCGTTATACAATTGACTAATTCCTTCCATCACCGAGACCCTGCATTACATTACACGCCAACGCCCTAATTTACAGACGACCCTAAATGGGCTCCCTCTCACGCCATCCAACTCGCTCAAAAGTCAAACTTCACGGCAATGGTGGCGGTCCCATCTTTCTGCTGCCAGTATCAAGCCTTTTCGGCGGTGGCGGCGGGCCCATACTTCCATTGCTAACCTGAGTAAACGTGCCTCCTTTGAACCATCTATCCTCCTCTGACTTTCGCTTCCGGTTCATCTCACTCTGCATTTTTGGATCAACGAGATTTAGCCCAGTGACAGGCGTAAAGGCTAGCGAAGAAGCTGTTCCAGACTCAGAGCCCATCGTGCTGCCGACACCTGAAGCTCGCAAGCCTTTGCCTCGCAAATCAATACCAGAGCCAGCAACTTGGCCGAACCCACGTAGAGAAGATACCGAGCCGCCAATCTGCGTTGTGCCACCCCATCCTTTATTCTTGGCACTTAACTTGGCTTTGGTTCTCTGATCAATCTGAAGGTTCCGAATCCGCCCATCGTTGGCCTGTCCAATCATTCCGAGCCCCTTCGTCCCTTCTCCGGTCCCATAGCCAACCTCTTTTTCCTCCTTACCAAACGCCATCCGGTTCTGGGCCTTGCGCAAATCTGTCATGGCTGTAGCCTCCTTTGCCTTTCTCGCGCGCCTCCCGCCTCTTTTGCGAGCGGGTTTGTCGTCTGGTGCAGAGAGAGCTCGAGCGCCTTTGTTAGGAGGTGGTTCGGTAAGTTTTTCGAGTCTTTCGAGGCAATTTGCCTTCAGTTCTTCACCAGTAGACCCGTCCAGGCTATTATGCACCCTATCAACTCGAGCCGCGAGTACAACTTTAGCTGACAGGATCCTCAGAGCTTGCCGTTTAAGGTCGTTCGGAATACCTCTAATAATGGGAGAATGGTATAGATAACCCTGTTGTCTGATGCCAACATTTGTCGCAAATCCAGTTTGTGTTTGTTTTTTTGAGCCAAGGGGAGCCAAGTTACATGCTGGGGTTTTTGCAAGTCCAGTAAGACCCCCTGCAAAATTGAGAAGTTGAGCTGCCGTAAGAGAGCCAATTAAAGCGGTAAGGTTAGGTGCAAAAAGGTTCATACGAGTTCGGACGTAGTCCGTTAAATTTCTCTTTGCTCTATCTAGCGCCAGGGCCATATCACAAGCACGATTAACTCTTTCAAGCTCGTCTGGGGTCATTTCACGGCCTTTTGTAGTAGTCGCCTCGACTGTGACAATCATTACGGATGGCCCGTCTAATACAGATCTCAAACTGACTCCCAGCCTATTTTCCTTGCAGGCTTGAAGAGACTTAATGCTATCGCTGTCCATTGGTCCATTTCCTATAATAGTAACAACTTTAGCGTAGTCGAGGGGATTTGTAACTAGAGTTTCTAGTTCAGGAAATCGTATAGAATAGTGATCCCGAATAAATTTGTGAACTACCATTATTTCATGATCAATTTCAGTCGAGAGGGTATTGGCAGTTGTCAAGAGATGATACTCGGGATTTTCTTCAATAGATCCAATCGTTGTCGCTTGTTTGTCCGGTGGCTGTGACTGAAAGTGGGCAATTCTCTATTGGGCCGGATCTAGTCAGGACTATTGAATGGAGAAAAGATGTAAACTCTTGATCCTCTAAAATTCAAGGGGATAATGAAATGGGTACTAACCTCTAGCACTGGTTCTATTTTCTTCATTTTTCGCGCAACTCTTCGCACATCATCGACGTTTCCTAAGTCCATCTTTTCCACATTGGCTCTCATATCGTATTCATCCCCTACATTCAGTCCTAGTGAGGCAGCTTCGGTCATTTCTTCATCTTTATTAAAATCCTCATCATCGTCGACATCCATAACACCATTTGCGCCGTTGAGTGGATAAGTATTATGACTTCCATCTTCCTTGTCAATATCTAATTTTTCTCTGAGAAGGCTTTCTTCAGCTTCAGACCCAGAATCTTCAAAGTCCTGTAATAGTTCCTCAGCAATGGTTGACATTTTGTGTCTCCGAAGGAATCGATGCAGACGGTAGTGATTCTTAGCATATGTCAGGTTGACATGCTTTGACGCGAAGCCTTGTTTGCCGCGTTAGACCTGAATTGAAGCTCGCGGCGTCCGTGCACGTTGTTTGTGCGCAGCCTCCTTCGGTCTCACGCCGAACATTGCAAATCAAACACATTAACAAATTTCTCACCATACAGCCGGCAGCAGTTGTAAAAATGTCGTTTGTTGAGTCTCGCGGACCCCCGCGGGTCAAGAATAAGGCACCCAGTGCCATTCAAATTTCGGCCGAACAGCTTCTACGAGAAGCTGTTGATCGTCAAGAGCCCGGCTTGCAGGCACCAACCCAACGCTTTGCTGATTTAGAGGAGCTTCACGAATTTCAAGGTAGAAAACGCAAGGAATTTGAAGATTATGTCCGCAGAAACCGGATAAACATGAACAACTGGATGCGATATGCTCAGTGGGAATTGGAGCAGAAAGAGTTCCAGCGAGCGAGGTCAATCTTCGAGAGAGCTCTCGATGTAGACGCCACCTCTATCACATTATGGATCCGATATGTTGAAGCTGAGATGAAGGCGAGGAGCATTAATCATGCCAGAAATCTCTTGGATCGCGCAGTCACAATTCTACCTCGTGTGGATAAGTTATGGTATAAATATTGCTATATGGAAGAGATGCTAGGTAATATACCTGGTACAAGACAGGTATTTGAACGATGGATGAGCTGGGAGCCAGACGAGACGGCCTGGAGTAGCTACATCAAACTGGAGAAACGATACGGTGAATTTCAAAAAGCCAGAGAAATATTTTCAAGGTTTACAGCCGTTCATCCGGAACCTCGGAATTGGATTAAATGGGCCAGGTTCGAAGAAGAGTATGGCACGAGTAGCCTAGTCAGAGAAGTGTTTGGATCCGCCATTGAAGCTTTGGGTGACGATTTCATGGACGAAAGACTTTTCATTGCTTACGCTCGCTATGAAACGAAGCTCAAGGAATATGAACGCGCCAGAGCCATTTACAAGTATGCCTTGGATCGTCTTCCGAGATCTAAATCTGCAGCACTCCACAAGGCGTACACAACCTTTGAAAAGCAATTCGGCGATAGGGAGGGAGTCGACAATGTAATCATTTCCAAACGAAGAATCCAATATGAAGAATTGGTCAAAGAAAATCCAAAAAACTACGATGCATGGTTTGACTATGCGAAACTAGAAGAAACCTCTGGAGACATCGATCGCGTGCGGGACACTTACGAAAGAGCAATTGCACAAGTCCCACCAACCCACGAGAAGCGACACTGGCGACGTTACATATATCTATGGATTTTTTACGCGATCTGGGAAGAGCTAGAGTCAAAGGATGTCGAGCGAGCAAGGCAAATCTACCAGGAATGTTTGAAGCTAATACCCCACAAGAGCTTCACTTTTGCCAAAATATGGCTCATGAAGGCACAATTTGAGATAAGACAAGAAAATCTTTCCGTTGCTAGAAAGACACTTGGCCAGGCCATCGGCCAATGTCCTAAAGATAAGATTTTTAAAGGCTATATTGAGTTGGAGCTAAAACTATTTGAGTTTGTGCGATGTCGAACTTTGTATGAAAAGCATATCGAATGGAATAGTTCTAATTGCCAAGCATGGATAAAATTTGCTGAATTAGAGCGCGGCTTAGATGATCTTGTGCGGACCCGAGCAATATTTGAGCTCGCTATCGAACAACCAATGCTTGATATGCCCGAGCTACTATGGAAAGCTTACATCGATTTTGAGGAAGAAGAGGCTGAATACGATCGTGCTCGGAAGTTATATGAGCGACTTTTAGAGAAGACAGATCACATCAAGGTTTGGATCAGCTACGCACATTTTGAAATAAATATTCCCGATGAAGATGATGGAGGTACGGAAGAGTTGGATGAATCCCCAGTTAGTGAAGCTGCCAAAGCCAGGGCTAGAACAGTCTTTGAGCGAGCACTAAAGAATATGAAGGATAAAGACCTAAAAGAAGAGGTAAGTCTCAATTCCAAAAATTCATTCCTCATTATTAATATTTTACAGAGGGTAACACTACTTGACACTTGGCTATCATTCGAGCGGACCCATGGAAGTGAGGTAGAGATCGAAAAGATACAACAATTACTTCCTCGTAAGACAAAGAGGCGCCGCAAGCTAGACGACGATAACTACGAGGAGTTTGTCGATTACATCTTTCCAGCAGACGATCGGCAGACCGAAAAACTTTCCAACTTCCTAGCACTTGCTCAATCGTGGAAAAAGGCTGGTGGAACTATCAGTGGAGATATCTCAAGCCAAAGCTAGCATATATACAGTAATGCGCTATACGCATACTTCAGTCACTCAATTCATATTATGAAAACCTTTCTGTGCAAGGAAATGCATACTCCTTATCAGATCGATCTAACAATGTTCTGCGAAGAAGAAGCGCATATATTTTACCGCTTCCAAGTATCCAATAGATATGTAGTTTTCCAACGAATCTAAGCTCTACAGTTGCTATCGTAATCTCCAAAAACGTATAGCAAAATAAACATACCCTAAGAAACATGTATTGCACACGATGTTATGTTGAAAATGTTAACTGGAGTGCCCTACTACTACGGACGATATCTATGTATAACATATGAAGATCATGTGACCTAACTCTCTCATCTCACATGAGTACGGGGAAATACTATCCCTAGACAATAGATATCTATTGAATTACATCTATGATATCATGAAACAATGCAACTTCGGAAGTCTAGTCAATCTGTCTCGTCCAAATATCTCCCAAGCGCCATCTTACTTAAAGAGTCACAGCTTATTAGTAACAACAAAAGACAAACGCTGATCCAAAATCACTAAAAACATTGAATGCTGCTAAAAACCTATAAATGAAAACCAAAAGATACAACTATGAGCCTAATTTAGACTTCTATCGCTGTTTTGTGGGTTGTTTAGCGGTGGATAATCGCCCCCGTAAACTTTTCGCAACTTTTAATACACTTAGACACTGCTTCTTTACCATAAATCAACGTGCCACAACGGGTCTATCAATAATTTATGCTGACCAGATTAAATCATGAGGCATTACAAATGAATCCTTCTCCAATGAGCTTAGTGTCATCTAGACCTTCTATCCACATTGTAATGTAATCCAATAAATTGGCCTCAAACACTTCTACAAAACGCACAAATACCGAATTCGAACCTCTGTGAACAGCAATTACATTGCAGGAACTGTAGTATTAGATAATAGAGACAAGTTTTACTATTAAGTGACTAGGGATCTGGGATAGAGATATGGCGTTGGACTAGGATACCCACGGAGATTTGGCATTATGGAAGCACTGATAGAATTTCATTACTACTCGCTTAAATCTCATTATATATGTAATTCGTAGACGTAGCTGTGCCCTTTGGTGGGTATGTTTATTGTCCTAATGAGTCTATGACTATGAAAGAACATGTAGGTCCTTTCTGCCTACAGGCAGGGAGTATCTATGCCTCGGGCAGTGTACTCCCTCCTATACCTCCTTCACAACTTCTTTCCAGCAGTATTACCCCCGCAGGTCTTCATTCGAGTACACACTAAGAGGAGCCCTAATCCCTTCATTATCTCCCCTCTCTAGCCAACAAAACGGTTGCCATTTGTGGTTGCGTAACTGTAGGGAAAAAGTCTCACAAAGCACTGGGTGCAGTAAATCTATGTATTCCTAGGAGTGTCTTTAAACCTTCATAGAATCCTCCTTACCCCCCCCCCTGATTCATACCGTAGGTTGTGAAAGGATGTCGGAAGATTCTTGGTCGAGAGTGACTGCCGTGAAGGGGCGCAGCCTAGCATTCAAAATTCGTCACGGACGTGGGATCGTCGGGTTACTTATGTATTTCAGATGCCCTCTTGGCTTACAGATTTGGAATTGTAGGTTAGAAGAAGCGATATTGAAGACGAGTCTAAATCTGCTTTTCTTGAGGGTAGAAGGGTCTTTTACTATGCTTTCTTGGACTTTTTGTTTGCCGGCCGGTGGGTATTGCATGTTGTGATATAATAAGAGCTTTTTTGAATACTGTTGTAGAATATGGTGTTATAGGCTGCGCCTATCTCCTCGTGACTGTCGCACGGACACTAATAATAATGACGTTATTAGCCTTGCTATCTGGAGGGAGGTCCAACTTAGCCTTCCAAATACAGGGTTGCAACAATTATGGAATCATAGACCGACACGACCCAGATTCGCCATGACGAGCCCACTCGGAATATGAAGGGTATAGTGTAGTAGAGCGGATAATGTGGTTAGCGCATATGGAGTTGGGACACCTTACGTAGCCTCCCCTCGGTGGACTGTTCCGAGATTTATATAGAAGATAGACAGTAATCGGCCACCATTCCTTTCCAATTTAGTTTTGTTGATCGCCAAACACATGTGGTGTAGCAATGTATTTCCTCATTCCCAGCATCATTATCGTCGTCTTGATCGTCTTGTGTGTTATGTGTTATCGGAAACGTATCTCTGACGGAGGCTGGGATAACTGAGCTTAAAGTTGAATAGATGTTACTCAATCTCGGCTCTGCAGACTCTATAGTGAGAGCTGGAGGTTTGTAGGGAGCACCACTGACAGGCCTTCAGAATAGCCCCCCAAATACTCGACGTGTTGCCACCTACACAGACTCGACACAGCAATAGAGGGCCAAGATATAATCATCCTGCACTCGGAGATTCAAATACATTTGGCTGTCGGTCTAGGCGACACTATAAACACCGCCATCGTTGGATGGTGCGGTGGTATATTATATTGGCCGGTCTGCCGAGTAGAGTCTGGATAGCTTGAACATATCCCACTTGAGACAGGTGATCGCTGTTTCAAATCTGGCAACACACTACCATATTCCTCGCGGCGCTGGTGTGCATGGATGACGAAGGCATGCTTGGATAACCAAAGGTTTTGAGACGTCCCTTTGGTGGGTACTTACGGAGGAGGGTCGACTGTTTGTGTAAGCGAACATATCTCATAGTGGTATTTGCAAATGAAATCCAGAGTATGAGTGTCTCTAACGTCAAAAGAGGTATCCAATATGTAAACATAGCACCGGTCATGTGTCATAGCTAGATAGCTGCATACACATTAAATTATCTAAAAAAAAGAATGTCAGCCTTTTACCAATCCCCATGATTTAAAATAGTAATTATAGGAAAACGTGAAAAATGAATGAATCAATATCAACCTAAGATTATCTAGCCTTCTATTCTATGGTTCAATTCTAGTCAGACTTGCTGTTGTGTCTCTAAAAAGGAACATCTGGTACGCGCCCAGCTATTAGAGGCGTGAACTCCCTCTTCTGAAGCCAGAGTCCAAGATATGTTGGGAGTAAATTTTTGGGTCCTCTTAAGCTGATTCTGGTACTGACCGATATGGCGGAAGAAGAATTGATGGGGTGATTTCTCATGACTGCATGAACAGGTTAGAATGGCGTTTTCGTCCTGAAAAAAATGATCCGTCTAGTTGCCCCGTCTTTAATAGCGGAAGGTCAATGGCACATTATTCTTCTTCCCGTCTACTGGACCATTCGCCGGCAAAGTCTAATTCTTCACCTTCCAGTGGTGCCAGTGTTATTACTCAGTATGCTCTGCATATCTGGGATAGCCAAGAAGAATCGCATCCGAATTGAAGTCGAGAGCAAACACATCTATAACCGGTGATTCCTCATCGATGTCGGTGTTGTCATTCTCACGAAAGTCCTCTATCTTAACCTATCTACACACCACCTCGCCTTAACGATCGATAAAGGCGATACTCCTGTTACGGGCTCTGCCCGTATTGGGACTGGTCACTAGGACCAACCCGGCTAGATCTTTAAGCGCCAACGAAGCAGCGCTTACAGAGACGCGAAAGGTTGCATGGGGAAGAATGCAAGGATACGCACAAAGAGGGATCTAAGTGTCGCATAAGGATTAATGCAAGGTTGCGCACAAGAACGAGTCTCAGTGTTGCATAAGGGTTTTTTTTTTTTTTTTGCATCAGATTTTAATTGCGTATGCAGCTATCTAGCTATGACACAATATCAAATAAAAGTACAGAAAATATGACTCAATTTACAAGAGGAGCACTCATACCTCGGATTTCATTTGCAGGTACCACTGCGAAGTTATGGTGGCTTTTTCTTCACCCCAAGTCAACCCTCATCCGTGAATACCCACCCAGGGAAACGTCTCAAAAACCCTGAGTTATGCAGACATGCCTCCATCATCTTTCAACTTTTCTCCGCGCGATATGTGATCTGAGGTGTCTCTTTCCCAAGTGGAATAGGTGCCCAGGCTACTCAGACTATACCGGAGAACACCACCAGGAGGCGGACCACAACACCTTCCATCGTTTGCTTGTTTTTATAGTGTCAACTGCACTCTCGCAAGCGAAGTCTTGGCGCACACAGTGCCTAATTCGTAAAACTCCTTGACAAAATTCGGAATCTCACGCCGTTCGAGGTTAAATCCTTTCTTTGCATCATCTTGTCAACTTGTCCTGATCCCTCTCACGTCCATCCCAAAGAGCTATCTCCCAGATTTGTGCTCCACACTTTGCTTCCTCCGTCGGGTATAAATATCGGCGTGGGCGTGTATTTGGTGACCGGCTGAGGCCAGAGAAAGTCGACGAGAGGTGTGGTCATTGAAACGAGGATGTACTAGGTCGTACTTGTAGACTCGATGAAGCTTAGATAAGAATCGGACTCTTTGGGAGTTAAAGATTGACATGGTGGAGTAATTTGAAATTTTGCCTCGTGGGCAAACTTGTTCGGTATTGCGAAATTTGACTGAACTTGGCTCTGGGAGAATATTTCACTCCCAGGTTCGTAGAGGACACAGCGTACAGGTGTTCAGTCTTGCCCTCCAAACCCTAACTTCATTGTGTCAGGGTGCAGGAATGATAATTTTTGACCAACAATCTCACAAATGAACTAATTTTCTCTTTTGCCATCGTTGCATCGGTTTAATAATTGTAAGCGAGCTTCAGGCATTTTTAAAATACCTTATGTAAGTAGACGTAAGTTTACCATGCTGGGGTACAGTTCATAGGCAAGATGCAGATCAATAACAGGGATATGGTACTTACTAATTGCGCACATGAGGGCATTGAAGAAGATACTAGAATAGCCTCATGCACTTGTTGGAAGTGACAAGGGATCACAGAGAGGGGTATTAAAATCAGACTCTCGTTTTAAAATAGAAGAACGAAAAGTTCGAGTTCTTTTGATGATTAATTGCCTTCTCGATTTGGCTCAGTTACATACGATCTCGTGACTTTGGCATAATTTTGCTGTGAAA